TGAAAAACGTTCCTTTTTTTGTTTTGGCTGGTTAGGTTTTGGGGGTTGTTGTTTGTTTTAACACAGGCAATGCACAAGAAGGGGGAGAGGAAAGAACAAGAAAGGAAAATATAGCTGTGTCTGTAATGCCTGCTGTTCTGTTGAACAAGCAGCTCATACATAGGATCCAGAGCGCAAAGTTCACCTGTCTATCTCGTTTCCTCGGTCTTGGGACAGCATTCGGAACGTGCTTCTGGTCAATTTCCTTTGCATCAGGGCAGGATGCTGTCTTAGCCTGTGGCAGTGGTTCTGTGGAGTTCAGCTAATTTCAGAGTTGGTTAAACAAAATTAGAAAAAAAACAGGGGAACAAAATTGCCATGAGTGAGGGGGCCACAGCAACCTTAACTCTGACTTCCAGAGATACTCTGGAATCCAGCAGCAGTTGTCTGACGTCCTTGCTGGTCTGGTTAATGCCCTGGATGTACCAGAATATTCCGCAGAGGCCACAATTTGCAGGCTGAAGTGACGGCTTTCTATATCCCAAGGATCCCACCACTCCAATAACTCTTTCAAACAGTGTCTAGAAGGGACATGATGAACCATCCCTGTTCCCTCACTTTAACCATTCAAGAATAACCTCCAGTGCCTGAAACATAGACACCTCCTTCCATTTACTGAAGCCATCAGGCTGTTCTGCTAATTTGTGATCTTCTAAAAGTCCCTGGACATCATATGGCCTACCATGATTTTTTTTGCCCATTAGTTTCAGCAAGCCTCCAGCCCAGTGTGTAGGCCTCACCACAGCATCTATCCTTACAAAAAATGCTGGAGGATCTTTAATGTTCGTATAGAGCAGACAAGGCATCTTTTGTTTTTTAAGCTCTCATCTGAAAGATCCACAGGCTGTAAAGTGCACGGAATTCAGGGTATCTACTACAGCGGGTCAAAAGATAAGAAGCTTCCACTGGGATCTGATCCTGTGTTTCCAGAGCAGAGATATTTGAAAGATGACACTTAAATAATGTATACAATTATAGACGTACCATCTTTAGCTCTCTAGTTAATAGACAGGGCTCTAGCTTTGGCATGGATCTCTGAACCAGTAGGAAATATAGTTGTGTTATATGTGAGAGAACATTCTTGTCCTGCCTGTAAGTGAAATTCTTGTAGTCCAGCAACAGAGACTCATGGGCCTGCTACCCTAAAGTAACAGGTACTAAGAGAAACTGGAAAAAAAACCAGAATTTGGGGATAATTCTACCTCCAGAATATGTGTGTGAGTCAAGAAGTTTCCAGGATAAAAGGAAACTAGGTATTTCCATTAGTACTGTACCATGATAACCATACCATCACTATAGGAGAGTGTTTTCTGGAGCTCCATTGCAAAGACCCAATGTGTAGGTCATGTAAGGGGGAGGGGAAACTCCTTCTGTTCATGAAGGCACATCAGAGAACGGATGTGGGTAGCACTGGCCAGGACAGTTTATGGGTATGTCTATATAACAAAAGCTGTGCATGAGCGAGCTTGAATCCAGCTGGTGTGGGTAACGATAGCAATGGAGACAATGCAGCGTGGCCTTATCTGTGCAGGGCTTGCACTACCTGTGTTGGAGCCACGTTGTGCTGTCTTTCACTGCTATTGTTATCCATGCTAGCTGGATTCAAACTAGCTTAGCTAGGCACACTAGCTCTGGTGCACAGCTACTGCTTTGTAGATATACCCTGAGATATGTAGGATGGTGTAATAACCTATTGAACCATAGTATCAAGAACACCATGAGCAAAGGTATTTAATAGAGAAAGGAATAGATTTTCAAGTAGTCCCTTCACACCTTTTTCTAAATGACACCACTTTTCTCTCAGTCCAGCTTGAGAAAAAGCTCTGACCAAGTGAGTTCTGTGGAAACCAAATAAGCAGTCCATCCAATATGGCAACTTGAACCCATCCTGCCAGGATACCTGTATTCAGCTGGTAAGCTCCCCTGAGCAAACTGTTAGCACTTAAATAGGTTGGGTTTTATTATATATGACCCTCCAAAAGTTGACAAGGGATTCCAGTGATCTGAGATCTTCAGCTCTGACAGTGTAAAACTATCAGGTTGTAACCACAGCCAGGGGATGACCCAATCACTTCTGAAAGAACCGATCAAGGCAGAATGACAGCAATGCCATTTCTTGGCTATGCATGAAAGAAGAGCTATGTTTTTGCATAGGAAACTAGGAAGAGTTCTCAGACCCATTTTATAATGGTGAAAAATAATTAAGGAGTTCTGCGTGGAGAGCTGAGCCAGCTAACCCCCACCAAAGAGGTGGTTTTGTTAAAACCCACACTGCAGTTGTGGCTAGAGGCTTAAAAGAATGATAGCATCATTTCAGTACAATTGTGTTTGTGCCCTGGGGAAAATTATTTCCCCTGCCTTTAGATTGCTCACTGCATTATAAAACTCGTCCCCTGCAAAACTCTGCTTAAAGGATGAGATTTGGAAAAAGAGCCCCCAGTTAATCCTCTCGCGTCATAAATAGAAGAAGGTACGGCACCAAAGACCTTTCTGCTGTCCTAAGGTAAGGCATTCTGAAACTTCGATAACACAAAACAAAATTTGCAAGGATTAGCTTGATCTTGAAGAATCAGTTTCCATATATTTTTCCATGGGTTTTTATTTAGTTTTCTCTATTTCAGGAGAATAACTACAAATGAAATCTGATAGGCAGGAGAGCCTTCAGACTTCACAATCATTCCAGATGAATGTGCCATGTGAAAGGGAAGGAGAGGTCTGAGATACAAGGTCCTATATCACTGGAAGAGAAATTCTGGATGGCCTGTGTACCTTAGAAGGAGGTGTGTCTCAGAGACAGGTGCCTGGGTCGGCAGATGTGCTTGTCCTCTTTCATTTTTCTGAGGGCTCAAGGCTTGTGGTCTCCAGTGGAGTACATTCAGGAGATCTTACAGCCTTTAAATTAAATACACATCTTTGCACTTTGAATATAATGGCTTGGCTTTGTAATGAATAGGTTTATCTAAGTACAGCTCTTGTTGATGGATATGGTAAAATACTATCCTGTTGACATGTCATTCTGAGACTTATAATTAAGAGACTAAGCCAACTGGCCCTCTCCTGGCCATACATAATATTCTGAAACCAGACGTTTCTCCGTTCGCTAAATGGGGCATGGGAGCATATGGAAGCCACATACTTTCATCACCTCCCTGTTTGCTGATAAAATAACTGATGGAGCATTGTCTCTTCTGACCACACTAGCTAGGACCGCTCTGTTCATGAAATTACATCTGAGGATAGTGTAATGAATCCGCTGAGCTATAATAGGTCAGCAGAGGGCAGTGTTAAGGGAGAATCTGCTGCTGGTCTTCTAGTTCTGGAGTGGCAGGTGCTGGATCAGCCAATGAGGGAAGGCTCCAGCAGCTGGGAGGATGGTTGGAGATGTGGGGGAAGAGTCACTAAGGCAGCAGCCAAGGAGGACCGAACTGGGGTTCCTGGAATTGCTTGTGCCCAGTTTAAGAATAACCAGACTCATGTAGATAAGAATACGCACATACAAACACACACATCACACTATGCCTGACTCAGTAACACCCATTTATCTCCAGCAACAGAAACTAGCCTCCTGCAAGGCCGCTGAAATCAGACACTGCTCATCCGAGAGGCAGCCTTATCCGATCACGCCCATCAGGCCCATCTTCAGAGGGGTTTCATAGAGAGAATGCTAGTTACATAGAGAGAATCGACTAGTTTATCGGCCTTCGACTAATAAGCTGAGGTGACCTCCAAACTTCAGAAGGCAGAATCCCATAAAGCCATTGTTTTGACTAGATTAGTTTCTTAAGTTTACTAAAGTAGTGATTTCCAGACTCCTGTGAGATAGAAGAGAATGGACTCCAATGCTGGAGCTGCTAGTCCTACTGGACCCAGACATCTGGCAGCGGTGGAGACCTAGCAATGGCACTAACTCAGTTACTGAAGTTGTCAGGTCTGTCATTTAAAAACCATCTTGCTGTGAGGATGATCCATGAACTAACACTTCCTTGCAAATTTCTTTGATGTCCTCTGCTGAGATGGATGCTCTGCATTCAGTTTGGGATCTGCTAATGACCTGGGAGTCAGGAGACCTGGGTTCTGGTTCCCAGTTCTGCCAGACATCATGTATGAACTTGGTCAAGTCGCTTTACTACTTGATGACTCAGCTTCCTTGTCTGTAAATAATAATGACTACCATCACAGGGAAGTTGAGGCCTAACCAATGTGTGTGCATTGAAAGGCATGGAAAAAGTGAAAAGTATAAATGCCTTTGATTGAGAAAAGGGTGGTTGGATTTTTTTTTATTGGGGCGGGGGGGGGGGGGGGTACGACTAATAATCACCAGTATTTTACTGCTGGTCTGGGCTTGAACAAAGGAGACTGTCTTTGCCAATTTAGTCTGCCTGGACAGGGAATAAATCTGGACCATGTCCTGCCATAATGCTGCTACCACAGTCAGCACATCATAGGCTAGCTGCTCTTGGTGAGTAGGTATCCCAAGGAAGAAGAGCCTTCAAAGAAAGGTGATCTCTGGCTGGAGGAGAATGGGAAATGTGCATTGGCCCTTAAGAGTGTGGCCCACTGAGGATGGAGTTAAGCAGTATGGGGCAATAGAGCCTGGTTCAGTCCCATCCCAAAAGACTGTCTCACATTCTATGGTGGTGGTTGCGGTAGTGGGGTGGGTGTCCTTTGTCACTAATTGATATCAGAGAACAGGGGGAGTTCGTAGCATATAGTGTTATGAAAAGTCTCCCTCTGTAGCTCCAGGAACTAAGGGAGCTCAGCAGTGGAGACGTTCACGTTTGTTTGCCATTTTCCTTTGTGGCAGGGAAGTTGAGGGCTATGGAGGACTCACTGAAAAGCACCCAGATTATCCAAACTCCGCCCATCCCTCGTCTGGCATGGAACTTCTCATGTATATATTACAAAAGGGTTTCCTTTCTTCAGAGGCCTGTTAAAGGTGGGTTTCTCTGAGAACAAAATCATAAATCTGGCTGTATTAGGAGATAAAAATGAAGTTTGGGGAGATGCTAAAATAGTCATTCTGAGAAAGCTGAGGACACTACGCGCATTGACTGAAGCTTCTTTCTAATGTCTGTCTGTCTACTTCCCATAAACGTGGGAAATTCCCTTTGTTTGGAAACCAACCTGGGTAATTCTGGGGGACAAAATCGTTACAGACCGACATCATCTCAGGAGTTGTCAGAGGTTTTGGAAAGGATTGTAAATGATCAGTTAGTAGTTGGTCTGACCTACAATATTCCAGTTGCTGATTTATTTAGCCTTATGTTCCTCTCCTCCCAGTCTGATGTTCCCCTGCAAGTGCCGTTGATTAGGGAGACAAGTGACTTTGCCAGTTCTATTGATCAGAATAAATTACTAGCAACTAATTTATGGACCTCGCAGAAGTGCCTTTGATGTGGTGGGCTGTGCTCTATTGTTCAGTAAATTGGGTTTTCAGAAAAAGTTATTGTTACAGTTCTCACGCATAGCAATAGCAACCAGCCTCATGGAAATGACCAAAATCTCTTCTCCTACCAGCAGAATGTCATGATGGTTCTGAGTAAGAGGGTGATGAACTCTCTCCCTACCAGGAGTGACTGTAAAAAGGACATCCCAAGTGCTCTATATTGATTGTCCATCCACGGTTTCTGTAAAGGCTAATGACCTTTCTTGGACTTGCAAACTCAGGGAATTTACTAGTGACCAGCGATTGCAGGGTGGGCTTGGCATCTGCAGAACTGCTGCTTAGTACAGTCTCCCCAACAATGAGATTCTGAGGTCAGAATTTTGCTAGTTGGGTTGATGATGCTTGAAGCAGAAGAGAATCTAGCTCTTCTATGGATAAAAAGCTGCAAGGTTGATGAATGCAAACTGATTTTTGCCAGTCAACTAAGAAGATACGATTCATTTAAAAAAAACACATGGACAGCAGAGAGGTGTTTGTTTATAATCAGATTCCATACTTGAAGACATGACATTTGCAGAAGCAAGAAAATTACTAGCAAAGAGTCCTCCTAAGCCGAAATGGAAAAGCAGTGCAACAAGCAGACACATAAAGGGGTGGCATGTGGCCTAATAAGAGGGTACTTTCTTGCTTTTGTTTTATTGCAATGTTATGAAATGGGAATTTTCATGTTGCAATTACTGCAAAGAAGCCTTTTTGGTTAATAATAATACATTTGTCTTGCTGGAGATGTCTTCCTTCCTTTGTTGTTTTTGCAGGTATGTTATTTATCTAGGTTCTTTTTTTGATGCCCTCACTGTGAGCATTTGAGCATCTCCAAAGAAGAATGATGTCAATGATGCCTCATTATTACTTACCTATGGGAAAGAGTCAGGCAGGGGAGGGGTCTTTTAACTATTACATTTAGAAAAGTGGGAATACTGGCAGAAGGCTGCAGTTGCAGAAGAGCTTGGGACAACAAGTGGGTTTGCCTTTTAGCTCTTAACAAATTGAGATTGGTGGTGTTTCTTATTCCAGCTGATAATGAGTACTGTAGTTTGGGTCCAGCTGCTGTGAAGTTCTGTCTTCAGTGGTAATGAGCCTCCCCCACTATGCCGGTGAAACGGAGCTGGAGCTGTCGTGGGAAGTTTTGGTGGCACAGGGAAAGATGTCCTTCAGGACCCATTCCAGGCAAGACTGAAAACCAGGAGAGCAACCTTGAACTGGACTTAGTCCAGCAGGGAGCCAGTGCAGGGACAAGCAAATCAGGGTAACGTGTTCCCAGCAACCTTTGCTGCTGAGCAGAAGAGCTGCTGTATTTTGAATTCCCAACACCTTTGTCATGACTTGGGGCTTGCTTAATTCCTAAGTATAGAGAACTGCAGTAGCTGGGCCTAGGTGTTACAAAGATGTAGATCATATGGCCAGATCTGAGTCCAGTAGGAGTGGGTGTGCCCCTCTGGCCAGCAGCAGATGGAAGTGGGTGTATTTCATCAGTGTGTGTGTTGTTGCACAGGCTCAGTGCAGAGACTCGGAAGACCTCAACCAGACCACAGCAACAATCTGATGGCAGATGCCTTTGATAAATGGAGCTGTTATAGAATGAGGGAGTTTCTTCTCCCCCACCAGTATTGCTACAGTTTTGTCTGGGCTCATCTTCAGCCAGCCACTCTTCATCCAGGTGCTAATCTCAGCTAGGCAATGAGAAAGCTGGGTGACAGGGTTATCGCTGTTTGATGTAAAGGATGCACTGAGCTGGGTGTCATCTGGGTACGTCTGGCATTCCAGCTCGTGGTTGCCCACTAACTGCCACAGTGGCTTCTTAGGGAGGTTGATAGGAGGGGGATTTAGCCTTGTGCAGCCTCTCACATGTGAGTCTTCTAGGGAGAGGTGCAATTGCCCATAGTGACCCTGAGAAGAGGAGGAGCTGCCACCTAGGTTGGCAAAAACCCTGGCGCCACTCCTGTGCAGGACAGGAAAGTTTAATGATCAACAGTATCAAATGCTGCATCAGAGTCCACCAGGAGGAGTATAGATGGTCTTCCCTGCATCCCACAACCCGTTTAGTTTAACAAAGAGAAGAATACGGGGTGACTGGATCACAGTCTGTAAGTACCTACGTGGGGAACAAAAATTTAATAAGAGAGGGCTTTTCAGTTTAGCAGCCAAAGATCTAACACAATCCAATGGCTGGAAGTTAAAGCTAGACAAATTCAGACTGGAAAGAAGGTGTAAATTTTTAACAGTGAGGGTAATTAGCCCTTAGAATAACTTCCCAAGGTCATGGTGAATTCTCCATCACTGACCACTTTTAAATCAAGGTTTGGTGTTTATCTAAAAGATCTCTCTAGTTCAGGGTAGCGCTCTGGCCTGTGCTATGCAGGAGGGCAGGCTAAATGATCACAGTGGCCCCGTCTGGCCTTGGAGTCTATGAATCTCTCCCATTTGCCAGAGTTGTTTACTCTGCTCCCTGCTCTGCCCGAGCACAGAATGCTGCTGTGATTGGTGCTAAACCCTGGCATGGTTGGCAGAGTACCTGCCAATGTGGCGCCACTGTCTGGTGTTCAGCACGCTGGTGCAGGGGGTTCTGTGTCTGGTGATAAATTCCAGATGGCTCTTGCAGAATATACAGGAGCCCTGCTGTTCTCTGGCCAATGGGGGTGCCTCCAAAACTCTATTCACACGTGAAAACAAAGCTTATAACCTGGCTGGAAGTGCTATTCCCTACAGGGGCCCTCAAACCCAGTGCTGAGCACAATGGGGTAGCTGTTTGTATCTGGTTAGCTCTGGTAAAGTCCTCTCTCAGGAGATGTGTGCAACCTTAATTCCTATCAGAACTGGTGCTCAGCACCTCACAGGTTGCTCTCCTAGAGGCCCATGCTGCCTAATTTAGGGTTTGGTCCTGCTCCCAGTTAAATCAAGGGAGTTTTGCCACTGACGCGTACTGGAAGTGTGATCGTGCCTGTAGATTGTGAGCTCTTTGGGGTTGTGACCATGTCAGGCTGTCTGTACAGTGCCAAGATCGCTCACCAGGAATCATGATACCATCCTCAAGTAGGCATCTGTGCCCACATATGTAACTCAGGCCCTGCAGTGAGATGTTGCCTGCTGTGCCGTCAGCTGCCATGTACCTTAAGCACAAGAGGGAAGTTATGAGTGAGACAGCCGGTGGGATAGCGTCTCTCCAGCGGGTTCAGACTGCACTCTGACGCTAGCAGAGAGCGCGTGGGTGGACAGTGCAGTCCTGCCCTTGCTTGCGTGGGAGGTCTGTGATCCTTAGAACACCCCTGCTCAGTTACTGTTATCAAATGCTCCCGTTGTGGTCACATTCATCTACAGAACAGCTCATTCACAAAGCACAACAGTGGGCTCCTGTGTGTGCCGGATTCCGCTGGTGCTGCCCTGCCTGACCAGGAGACCTTTGATATTTTGGCTGGCAGACTAGTTGGCTGTGCCCTGTCTGGTATTCCCTTGTGAAAGCCGCTATAGGCTGCCCTTTCACTGAAAGGCACTATCCTGGCATTTACAAAGCCAGGCATCACTGAAAACACTGTTAGCTGGAAGATCCGTCCTCCCCGTCAGGGAGCAAGCAATACTCGAAGCCTTTCTTCATCGGAGTCCATCCTGCCATCTGATTCCACAACTCTGCAGCTTGCCACGTGTTAGGATTTCTTGCTGTACTACACCTGCTGAGCGGGGGAGCTTTACTCTGCACTTGTGAAAGCCTTTCACACCAGTAGCAGAGAGAAGCTGTGAAACACAGAGCGGTTGGACTACGTTAGGCTGATATCTCTAGTGGCTCCTGATACTGCAGGTAACTCCTATGACAGTTCCCCAGGGCAATATGCTGGACCGGTGGAGTTCATGAAGTGTTTTGATTGCATGAGCCTACATGAAGGTGTTGTGCATGTGAATGCTCTGGTCTCATTCTTGCCTCTGAAATTATGATTTTTTCCCCCCCATTTAAAGAAACCCATTTAAAGAGACATGGATCTTGAAAGAATCATTCGAGACTCTCTGACGTGCTTCATCCAGTCCCACATCCCTGATGCCGATCTCAGGTATGTTCCAGCTCATCTTTTGAATTTGGACTTTCTATTAGTTGCCCCTTTTATTAAACTCCAGGTCTGATGTTCTAACCTCCATGTATTGTATTCTGCTGCTCCTCAATCCAGATCTCAGGGGCGCATGTAATTTGTCCAACGTCTGCTAGAACCCTCCCACCATCCATAACTTAGTGTTACCATTTAGTAGCTTCCAGTGAAATTAAGGAATAAGGTTATTAATTTCTTATGCATTAACACAGATCTCTCTAGCTCCTATCATCTTAAAAGAATCCCAAAGTGCTTTTCAAACAGCAGACTGATATACCCGTACATAGTTTATATAACAAGAACTTTGCCCACTAATGAAATGCAGCCATCTCTAGGTTGGAATGCGGAGGCTGTTTTGCAGTACATGGCAGCCGTGTGCAGGTTTAGGACAGAAAGCGAAGAAGAGTACTACAGAAGTAGATTGTTGACCTGAAATTCTATCTACAGAGTGCAATTACCCTTGGAATCTGCCCGAAACACCAGAATTAACATTGTCACAAGTGCTCAGAACCTTGGTCAGATATTGTAACTCCAACAATACTGTCCTCCCTCCCCCAGCAGTGTACTGGGATATTACTTTAGTGCTGACTGGGAAGGAAGACGGTCACAAATTAAACTGCACAAGTCATTTTCTGCAGGACCTCAGATTATCCCTGAAAATCTGCCCTACAACTATTGACGAGGTCCTATCTGCCTTCACTTGCGAGATCTGATCCAATCACAGCACAGAAAGCTGGCCAAGTGGGTCCTGTGACTGCAATTGCACTAGGTGGAAGGGCACTAGAGGGGTGAGTACCTGTTAGCTCAAGTCCCTCCTCTTGTGTTCTCCTTGTCTCCAGTGGGATGGATGAAGTCTTCTTCTCCTATATCGCTAGTGTTCTGGAAGAACTAGGCTCACCAGAGTCGTCCGAGGAGAACTTTGATATGGACACCTTTGTGGAAATGATGGAGGCGTATATCCCTGGCTTTGCAGAAATCAACAGGTGTGTGCCTCTAACCATCTGGGACATACGTGCCACAGAACTGGGTCTAAGTGTCTTAGTACCACAAAGCTCAGTTGTCAAATCAAGCAGCTCAGTGCTTTGATTTAAGGATCTTCTGGTCCCAAAACCATGCAGTCATGTACGGAATCTGGCCTTTACTTGGGTATGTGATGACTAATACCAGTACAGATTGCAAGCAGGCCCCAGGCCTTCTGAGACCCCAGTTTGTAGTACTGGATTTACTATGGCACTAGCCTGCTGCGCACACTGGCTTTACAGGGTCCATCTTTCTAGATCAGTGGCTCAGCAATATGGTTGTTTTGCATCGATTGGGTCGCATGTCCTCAGTGTAGAATTCCAGAAGTAGCTGTCTGCTGTTAGTGACTCTCTCAATCCCTGCCAGGTGTGTGGGGAATACTACACAGATATTATACAGTGATTTCAGGGTGGGGGACTTGTAAGTACCTAGATCAGCAGAAGAAGCTTGTGTTGGAAGGCGACAATGCTTATGCTCCCTATGCCAATCACACTGCAACTGTCTCTTGCAGCGGGAACATTTGTGAAATGATGTTTGCCCTCTCAGAAAGGCTCAGCGAAGCTCGCAACAAAGGTAAGTTGCACGGTGGGCGCTCAGGCATGCGGAGGTGCATCAAGGATGTGGTTTTAGTCTTAAGTTCTCTGAGGGGTGGGGAGCGTCGCAGAGCAATGCATGATCTTGCTATTTTAACCTGGGATATTTAGGAGAGTCTCACATGGGAGTCTGAATCGCTTGACTTCTGATCGGGTTGAGTCAGAGTCTTGACAGGAGCGTGTGGGAGGGTTAGTAGCTTGGAATGCGCTTGTTTGTGGCTGAACTAGAGGCACTTGTGTGGGAAAATCCACTTGAACAAATCCCTGGGGTTGCTGGTGATCCCAACTGCATATAAAGCAAATGCAGAGTAAAGGGAAGTTTCCTGTACAGGACTATTGCCCCTGAGGTATCTAGAGGGGTCTTGTGTATATTTTGGAAACAGGATTGGACAGACCAGGTCAAATCCTTCTTCCAAAGTCAGTAAGTTGGGGATTTCTCTCTACATTCCCGTTAGCAGCATGGCTCAAGTGTTGCAAACCCAGACAGTCTATTGTACGTGATACTTAGCCTGAGCGAGTCAGCTGGATTCTCTGCCATTGGCGTCTGTAAATCAAGATGGGATGCCTTTCTAAAGGAACTGCTCTAGCCCACTCAGGAGTTAGGGGCTGGCTGCAGGAATTGCTGGGTGAGGCTCTCTGACCTGTGCTATGCAGGAGGGCAGACATAATGGTCCCTTCTGGACTTAGAATCTGAGAGTCAGTTGTATCAGTGCATTAAAGCAAAGTAGTAGCTTTCTGCCTGAGAACAGATGTGTAAAATCTCTGGTGGTGAGACCCATCGGGGCAGAGGGGTCCAGAGTTTGCCCAACTGAAGCCTCACTGGCATCTTATCTGGAGCCAAAAGGCCCCACAAAATAGAGCAGACTGCCCCACCCTTATCGTGCATACCGGAGAGCAGCCAACAGATAACGTAACAATAATACACAGCATAGCCACAGCACCCTCCAAGCTACAATCTCAAGGTGCCTCACATGCGCAGGGAAGTATCATCCCCACTTTACAGATGGAGAAACTGAGGCATATACCCACTAAATGACTTCCTCTTATCACACACAGGGAATCTGTGTTAGAGCTGGGAGAAAAGAACCCAGGGATCCTGATTCCCAATCCGGTGCATTAACCATCTTACACACACACCCCCAGGACAATGCTGGCTTCATCAAAGCAGCCTGACCACATTGCACACTGGGCCTTACAGCATGCAGGAGCCTTGCCTATATGTGCATTAATTCCCAGACAACAATTGAGAGTATGTACTGGTCACTTAATACAGGGATGGTGTAATCTACCCCAACCCCAGCAATACAAACCCCAGAAATTCATTAAAAAGATTAAGGTGTCACTTAAAAGAAATCCAAACATGTTAAGGTCTGGAAACACACAGTTAAGGCACCCAAGCAACCTTAACTGCCCCACTGTGGGCTGTATGAACAAGGTGGCAGCCATATCTGGTTGGCAGTAGTAGGAGAGTATTGGCTGGAAACCAATCATGGAGAAAAGAATTTGTGCTGGCATACGGCACAGTAGCAACCTTGTCCTTCCCATAACAAAAGGTATAGATAGCGGTAACCTTTACAGAGTTGCTCATAAATAAATGTGCACTGTGTCTTTAAGGAAAGGTTTGTCAAAAGGCTGTGGAGAGCGTGAGCAGAGCCCCTGCTGAAGAGCTGAACCAGAGCGATGAGCAGGGGGCAGGAGCTTCTGATGAGAGGAGGCTGCATATACCAGCAGAGGGAGCTGTAGCTCAGGTACTGGAATATTGCCATAGAGAACTAGACACAGGACAGACAGAGTTGCATGCCATAGGTTACCATAGGGGTCTGGACATAATCTGGCTCTGAACGGGTCTATGTGGTGCAGGTGGCTGGAAGCAGTATTATCTCAGGATGTGACTGCAGCTTGTGATATATGATGAGCAGGGTCTTGTCAGTACTGGGAGGGGAAACCTCCCAGGAAAACTCAAAGGTTGCTAGAAGTGGTGTGGGCAACTCCACAGCTCGTGCTCTTCCCTCTGAATCAGCACGGAACCAGCACTGCAGCAGGGGGACGCTGTGCTACTTTCTGGATGGGAGGTAGCAGAGCGTCTGCCTGCTTGTCATTAAAGATCCCATGGGACTTTTCACAAAAGCCAAATTCCGACTTTGACTGCTGCATTCTGCACCCTAAATCCCCCCAAGTTCTAATTTCTTATATTCTCCATTTCCTGTCCTAAACCATCATACGGCTTCCCTTTTCCACTGAACAGGTGGCTGCATTTCAGTGGTTGGTGCCGTGGTTCCTGAAGAGAGAATTTGCAGAACTTGTTTGGAATGTTTGTACTGTGCTGGATAACAAGCACTGATTAAATATGAGCCACTGTCCTCCATCCCCTCTGTGCAATTCAGGGACAAGCCAGCATTTACTCTCCAGGCAGCTGTGCTCCAGCTGTAGGGAGCATTGCTCAGCTGGTATCCCCACTGTGAGCACTTCCCTGCACACCCAGTCCCATCCCTGCTCTCTTTCCCCCTGCACTGGGGCTAGAACGTGCATACTGATGCCCTCTTCTTGCTTGGTGATTGTCACCATTTGCCACTTGCTTTATAGAAACTGTCATTGCTGCACTTCAGCATCTCTGCTGCTGCGGTAGCATGCTGTGCTTAAACCCCCCCACTCCCCCCATTCGCTGAGACTCCACACGATGGGAGTGCCAGTTGTCAGGCTACAGGTAAATGGGCCAGTTCCCAGAATCTGTGTCTCTGGGGGGATGGATGTGTAGCAGCACAGTAGGCAAATGAGCCAACACCCAGAAGACCTACCTTGGGGGACTGCTAATCTGCTAGCAAGAGGTAGGCCAATAATATCCAGACTCCTTGTTGCTGTGTGTGAGGGCAGGGCCTGCAAAGAGCTAAACCCATAACTAGCTCCCCAGCTTCAGGGATGAGGCTTACACCTGCCTCTGTGAGGAGACTTGGTTCTATTGAAGCTGTGGAAAAATATCTGGCTTACTGGAAACCAATTTTCCTGGCCTAAAATGCTATGCCCCTCACTGCCCTCCAGGCTCATCCCAGGTCTGTCTTACCCTGACCAGGGAGCAGAAGGTGACCTGAAGGATGGGGTGGAGCTGCTTCTGGAGATGTTCCCAGCCTGCACCCTCAGCCAGGCTCAGAAGGCACTGGCCATGGTGCTGGGAAACCTGGAAGAGGCGGTGCAGTTACTGGTGGAGGAGAAGGTGGAACCTGGCCCAGTGGGCACTAACGTGAAGGTATTGTGGCCCTAACAGCAGCACTGGGGGGGATTGGAGGAAGCAGTGTCCACAAATACAGCAGGGCATCGCACAAGCTGAAACGTGGTTCTTTATCTCTGAAAGTGGCTGTGGGGATCTTCCATGTCCCCATAGCAAATAGAAGAGGCCAGCAGGTCTTCACCCTGTGAGCAGAGCAGTGAGATCCCACTGAGCTGGCTCCTTCCCCAGGGACTCCAGGTACAGACTGTCCAGCCTGCTGGGCTGCCATAAGAGAGGTTGTGCCACAGGCATTCTCCTCCCCTAACGTCAACTGGCCGGCAGCCGGGGTGGCTTTTCCACATGGGGACTAGCTAACAGGATGGGATTGAACCGGCTGATTGCTTTGTAGCTCCCACATATCCTTTCCTACTCTCTAATCCTAGGAGACTGCGAGGCCCCGCCGAGCACCCAAACAAGAGGACCTCAAACGATTTATCTTACAGAAGTAAGTACCAAGCTCATGTCCTTGTTCAGTGGCAAGAACGGGCTCCGATGAGGAGCTTGGGGAAATGGTCACAAATGGAACTTGCCCACCCAGGCTACCCTGCCAAACCAACCTATCCGAGAGCTTTGGGCCATGGGTAAGGGGAGGATCCTGGCGTGTTGGGCCATGGCTAATCTCAAAATGCAGGTCCAGTCAGAGAAGGGATGTGAACTCTGTTCGGGGTTTCCCTATTGATTCTTACAGCCATGTTTGGTTCAGACGAGCCTAAAGCCGCTATCCATAAGTGCTGAAGCTGCAGCCTGCACCTGCCCAGCTGGGATCTGCCCCTCCAGGCTGGTTCTTTCTGCTTCCTTACGTCACTGCCAGGGATAAGCGACAGTTGGAATTCAGCTGGCGGGTGTGAGCAAGGCCGAACAGAACCCAGCTCGCTTTCCCAGAGCCGTGCTGTCTCTCAAGGGCTAACCTAGCTCCAGGTGATCTGACACAAGCTTGGCGTGATCGTGAGGGAGCAGATGCGTTGACTAAAAAGGTGCCACGTAGTCACATATGCTAACCTCACTTTAATGGTGGCATTGGCAAGGTCCTGCACTTACAACACAACTCAAACACAGTGATTGAGAGCAGTTCTCTAGCTGGAAATACACAGGAGCAGCTATTCTAGCTCGGGGGGGAAATGACCAAGGCTGGCTGTGCTGTCACATGGTTGTATTGGCTCCAGAGTGGGAACAGAAGTAAACAACTCATCAGTGCTGCGAGCAAGTACCTGTGCATCAGTCAAATGTGGAGCGAGGTGACACTTTACCCCTCAAACAAACCCCTTTAGTGAAGGATTATAGTGCATGAAGTTTTGAAAGGGAGTCATCTCCTCTGAAAGGAGACATGCAGTCACTTCAGCACTGTGCTACCAGGAACCCACTGTCGTGTCCTTCAGCTGCGTGGTGCTCAGAATACGTCGTCGATGCTGCCCGCCCACAGAGATTGGAAAGTAGCAAACCTGCTTCCTAAAATAGATCAGAACTTGGCCCTTACATCTCTGAGCAACTCTTGATAAGGCAAGGATTATGGCCCCAGATCCTCCAAAGTATTTAGGCACCTAACTCCCATTTAGGAGCTAGGCACCTAAATACCTTGGTGATCTGGGCCTACCTGAGCAAACCAAGTAGCCAGTCTGCCTTTAGGTACACTTCACACGGCCTGGGACGTCACCCCAGGCTCCAGGAACCTTTAGCTGGCTGTGCAGGATCCCACCCGTTGGAAGGATAGCGCCTTTGATGCTGCAGTACCTCCTCCCTCCCACTGTTAGTCCTGGGCTCAACCCCAGGTTCCAGCTGGAAATGGAAGGCAGCAGGTGTTGAGGTCACACTGAAAATGGGGCGGGGGGTAAGGAAACGGGATGTGAGTAGCCCATGATAGTCACAGTGTTGTATGTGTTGCAGCTTTCACTAATCCCCATCTGTGTTTCAGATACATGATGGTGGACAGCGAGGAGGACCAGAAAACACACAGGCCGGTGCCACCAAAGGAGGTGAGGAGAGCCACGCTCGGCATGGCTATAAGAGTCTTTGGCTGTAACGGGGTCTAACTACCAGTTGGCAGCAGAGTGAATCTGCCACAGTGAAAGCCCTGTTCATAGAGCTTTTGGCTGGAGGGAAGGGGGAACTGGTGTAAGATGGGCAGCAGGGGCTGTCACTATTTACCACTTCAGCCTAATGCTGTGGTTCCCCACGAGGGGGTAGGTATACACCAGTGGCTTCATCTTGCTTTCCTACCAGTTCTTTAACCAAGACTCACACAGCGTTCTCCAGCCGCTGAGCTCAGCTATTCCTGCTCTTAAAGAACGTGTGAGACAAAGAACCTAACCCTTTCAGTTGATGCCAATTGCACCTGCCCCGCAGACCCACCCAGGGCTCCTATCACTTTCCACTTCACATCAATTTCACTTCCTTCCTAGGCTCCCAAGAAACTGATCCGCTACATTGACAACCAGGTGGTGAGTACAAAGGGAGAAAGATACAAAGACATTAAGAAGCCAGAGAGTGAGGAGATGAAGAGAACTTACATCAGCCTCAAGCCAGCCAAGAAATACAAATTCCACTGATGACGATCCCTTGGAGGGAACGTCCCTCTACCCTGCTGCCTGAGGCATGGAGGGACAGCCCTGGGGCAGGAAGGGTGAGAGGGGCCTTCTATACTCCTCTAACTGGAACTAACCTACCACTGGGAGCCAGCATGCTGCTGTCAGCCTCTAATTATAGCACGATGCCACGGAGGAGCCTGTTCAGCAACGCTGTTTGTGTAACCCTCCAAATTGTCCCTCCGCAGCCAAGAGCCAGCTGTCGCTATGGCAAATTTGACCAACCCGGCTGCTGTGTGTCCTGGACCTCTCTGCCATTCCTTGCATGGGGATTTTTTATAGCTAATGTGTGGCTAGTGCAGTTGACAGCCGTCTTTTTAAATGTGTGTGCAATGGTGTTGATTGTGACTGTTAGTAAAGATGGTGTGAATCAGTGTGGAATTCAGACAGAGCATGTCTGCTGCTGGGAAGGGTCATCAGGGTCTCATGGTTGGTTGGAGGCTCAAGCTGCATCCTTCTCTCTCATGCCCCAGGCAGGGGTGTGGCAGAGATGGTGCCTGCAGACTGGCTACATGCAGCTCCTTTAGTAGTTTGCACAGCGAGTGTAAGGGCTTAGGCTAGAGACTAGGCCTGGTATTGTGAGCTCCCCACACCTCTGCCAGCACAATTCCTGCTGGATCTGCAGCACCCCGATGGGGCCGGCAGCTGAGGACACCCCTACAGGGCCCTGCTATTTCACGGCTGGAACCTGAGTGGCAGCCACCAGCCCTGTGATGACCAGGGGACACAGCTCAGGATGAAGGCTTGCTACACTTCTGACCACACTCAGATGTGAACTGAGTTCCCCGGCAGTAAGAACTCACAGAGGCCTTGCTCTTCTCCCTGCTATAGCAGTTGGGAATCAGGCCCCCCCTCTCCAGGGCTAGTGTCACTTTCCCCTCCAGCCCACACTTGGAGCTAGGGCTGTGATTCCCAGCTCTCATCGAGCCACATGCTAAGAACAGCGGTGTAGCTGCAGTAGCACACGCAGCGAGGGGTGGTACAGGCTAGCTGCCCGGACCCACAGCTGCATGGTCAGGGTGACTAGCCTGTGCCATTGCTGTTGGGAGATGGCCCACCCAGAGGGAGCAGAGCCCTCTGGTTTCTGACAAGGTCATTCCAGCGTGCTGTAGCTATCACTGAGATGCCCTCCCCCACAGCTCAGCAAGCCCTGTCCTGGCTGGGAGGAGAGCTCACACTTCCCCTTCAATAGGGCAGAGGTGGTTAGGTTTATTCAACAGTTCTGCAGCCAGTCCATGGCCATAGTCCTTGCACAGTGTCCTGCTCTCTGTACAGCCGATGCCCAGCATGCTGGACTTAGAGATTTTAAATATTGCTTAAATAATATATCCCATTTACCAGCCGACCTGGCCCAGCCGGGACGTGTTCAGCACCACAGTGCTGCTAAGAGTGCCTCTCGCTTTTCACACTGCAAAGGGCTGCTGCTTCCCCCAGGAGGCAATGAGGGAGCCCCATTACAAACACAGCAGTGGCTAAAGAGCACCAAGGAGGCAGGGGGTAGAGGGAGGTCAGAGAGCCCCATCAGGACCAGCCACACTGATGGGACTGACTGCTCCCTCTGAGTGTCTCAGCAGCAATTTCTTACAGCACCCTGCAGGAGGCAGAGGCCAGCTGGGCTCTCTCCCCCCCTCAGCAGCAGCAGCCGTCCCCCTCCTCTAGATCTGAAGGTTAATGAAGGGGGCGAATCCAACCCCATCCTGCAGGAGAACAAGGGCCCTCTGCAGCGGCAGCTCCACATCCAGCTCCACCCCACGGCCACGGAGGATGCTCAGGCTGGACTCGGCCACCTTGTGACAGTGTTTCACCTTCAGCGAGCGCAGCTTGGTGCAGTACTCGGCCAGGACCCTGCCAAGAGAGAGCGCAGGCTGGAGGCCACAGCTCCTGCTCCAAGCACCCCCCTGTACTGTTACTGGAAGGTGAATCTGTGTGACACCCAATACCCCTGTCCCATGGGAGGACCACCTTGCCTGGGCATAGAGCTCAAGCAGGAGATGATAATCTGGTGATCAGCTCAATCCTGATCCCTCTCCATGGCGTCCCGGAGAGCTTACTGTAGCCAAGCCCATATCCATTGCATCTTGTATCTACACTCCTCTAGGGCCTGGCAGCAGCCTCCCCCAGCAGCGCAGAGCTCCCACTGCACCCAGCACCACAGAAGCAAGCAAGGAAGAGACCCTGCCTCCCTTCTCTCTCTCTGATCTCCCCTCCCCCTCTCCTCCGCCCCCCCGCTCTGACCCCACATGGAGGGCCCCCACCCTGCATGCACAGTTAAGCAAACTTGGTACCTAATGGACTCGTTCTTGACTCGCAGACACCCGGTGAGGTCCAGGTGCTCCAGCTCAGGGCAGCACTTGGCAATCTCCTCCACTGCTGTGTCGCCCACATTGGCATTGACAGCCAGAGAGAGGGACTTCAGCCTGCTGCACTTCTGTGCCAGGTAGCAGATGGCTTCATCCTTCAGCTGGCGACAGGCCGTCAGGTCCAGGGACTCAAGTCCCTTGCAGTGGTCAGCCAGGCTGCGCAGAGAGAGGCTGTCCACCCACTCGCAGTGAGCCAGGGAGAGACAGCGCACCTGGGGACAGCTCAGCGAGATGGCCACCAGGGCATGTCGGCTCAGCTGCAGGCAGCTGCTCAGCTGGATCTCCTGCAGGTGGTGGTTCTGGCCAATCACAGGAAGCAGCTCCTTGTCAGTCAGCCAATCTGAGCAGTTCTGGAGCGCCAACTGTTGCAGGACTTCATTGTCTTTCAGAAGGTTACAGAAAGCAGCTTTGGGGAGGTGAGGGCCGACCTGCGTTGGGAGAACAGAGAACGAGACCTACAGTGTTTCAACGCTGCCCTGGCTCTTAGATTCTCTCCCCCACCAGTCTCTTCCTTGCACCAGAGACATTAAAGAGTCAAGAGCCAGAGGAGACCTGGTAGGTCACCAAATCCCCACACACACCCCCACGCCAGGGCTGCAGCACTTCCTGCAGCTTCTTCTCCACTTCAGTGGCCCAAGTGATGGGGCTCCCACAGCTTCCCTTAGGAGACCATTCCACAGTACGAGAATTCTTGCCCAAGAAGTTATTCCAGCTCTTCAATCCAAGGTTACCTCCTCTTAATGCCCTTGCATTGCTTCTGTTTCTAAATCCTTGCCTCTCTACAGTCTCCAGCTGTAAATACTTGCAGACAGTCCTGCCCCTCTTAGTCAGTGCTAGGGCAAGCAACAGCCATTTTGCTCTTTTTTTTATTTTCCCAGCCAGTCACTCCTTCCATTCAATCTCTCCTAAGCTGTGCAAGTCCCCCTGTGAACACACATCTTTTGAATAACTGCAGCTCAAGAGACTTTAGCCACAGTTCACTAAATCCACTTGAGTCACTGTTACTCTGTAATAAGTATGTTCACTCAGACTTGCACTAAAATAACTCCAGTGGTTTTATTTGTAACTGGTTTAACATCCACCTCTTACTATTTCTGTGCTGATTTGTGTGTAGACCAGCTCTTCAGTGAGGCCCAACCTATAATCTCCTGTGTTTCCTACTCATCAGGAAGAGCCATCCCTGCAGCCCCCCGTACCACCTTTCCAGTAAGGCTGGAAGAATGCTTGGCTTGATGAGTTCCAGCCCCTAAGGCTGGACACACCTGCGCACATCATATTCCCATCCCCCCCACCTCAAGGAGCCAGACCCATCTAGACACATCATATTCCACACACAGCTACAGGCATCATTCCCACCTGCCTCCACACCTGGGCAAAACAGAGAGTCTGTCCCATTCCCAGTTTAGGGCCTCTCTGCTCCCCCCAGCTGGTGCTTGGATAGGGCCATGGGAGGGGCTTCTGGTTTCACCATTCCTGTCAGCCTAATGACCTATTATTAACAAATAAATCTGCTCACTGCTGAGACTTAAAGCACTCCTGTCAGCCCCTGAAAGCATGGGGGGAGGGGGTTGCATTAATAATCTCACTGTGATTTGCCTGCCTCCCTCCCTCCTCCCTCCCACCTACCCTGACTTTCCCATTGTAGGTTCTTCCCATAGGTAACAGTTCTCCCCAGTGCCAAGCGGAGAACTGTCCCATACCTGGCTAGAGTCAAAGCAGCGCATGTTGGCCAGGTACAGCTGGATGAGAGTCTGGAATGACTTGCTGACCCTCTGCAGGCTCAGGAGCTGTCGCAGCGGCAGATGGCAGAGGATGTGTGGCACCAGGATGTCCTCCCAGGGCAGGTCCAGGAGGTGGCCCCTGAAGGAAAAACAAAGGCAGGTAAACCCTGGGATGCCAGTTAGACCTTGTTTCTAGTAAAAGCCCAACCTGCTTCACGACAGTGGCTGGGCAGCAGCTAACCAGTACGTCCAGAAAACAAGCTGCCAGAAGGGGAAACTGTTAGCAGACTCCCAGCTCAAGGCTGGATTTTCTCTCTTGTGAAGCTTTCCAGGGGATCTCAGATGTGCTCCCACTCCAGTCAAGCCCTCCATCCTTCAGGCTGTCAAAAAGGCCTCCCAATTCCCAGCTGCTGGGCAGGCGTTCTCTTGACAGTAAGGACAGCGAGCTGAAGCGCAAGGCCAATTGCACAGAGACAGTCTGTTCAGCTCCTATTCTGTCGCACACCCAATCCTTCCCATTCAAGGCCTAACCATATGGGCGGTCTGCAGTGGGGGCAGCCAGTGTAACATGTAAAGAGGGGGAGGGGCTGTCATGCAGACCCTGGCACTAGGTAAGTGGCTCTGCTGTGGCAGAACAGAGCCCAGCACCCTCTGATGAGGCACGGAGGGCACAAGAAACACATCGTACAGCAGAAGCAGCCTCCAGGGGGGAGAAAATACATTTTCTGCTTCAAGTTTTGTCCATTTTTTTAAAGGGACTGAAAGATGGAGCAGTAACTAGCTTTCCGTGCTTTAAAAGGCAGAGCTAGAGCAACTGCCTCAGCATGACTGTCAGGCGGTAACTCTTCTAACTACCATGGCGAGTGCCTCTCTACAAACTAATTCCAGTAGCAGCGAAGGTAATTGAGGAGTCACTTACGCCTAGAGCCGGTAAACACACACTCCCCCGTCCAACCCTGTCAGCAGTGCCTACACCTCTCCCCCACTCCCCATCGCCCTGCTCATCACTGAGCCTTCAACCCAGGGAAAGCCACAGACAGTGTCACCTCAGAGGAAACTGCAGCGGCAGCTGGGTGGTCGCCAGCTGTGGCGGGGGTTAGTGATGGAGTAGCGAGCCTCCCATCGCTCGGGCACCAGCAAGGAATGACCCACTTCCTGCCCAGCAGCTGCGAGGGAGCCCTGGGCCGGGCCAGACCAGGCAGGTGGGCTCCCATGCACATGGCCAGGCCAGCAGCACTGAGTGTCCTCCTGCCAGTCTAGGCAGAGAGACCAAGCCCTGCATCGGTCACAGAGACCACCCCCCTGCTAGCAGCGCTGGCTCCCATGCAAGGGTGAAAGCCCCACGGCAGCGGCTGCTCTGGCCCTAAACACCACCTGCCTCCAGGGGCACTAGCCGCTCCGGCCCGGCACAGGCGGGGACACTGCCGCCGCGTCCCCCTCCCCGGCCAGACACAGCTGGGGGCGCTGCCTCCCCGGCCAGGCACAGCTGCCGGTACCTGGGGCAGGGCCGAGTCTCCCCTGGCGTCTCCATGGGGTTCTGGTCCAGTCCTCGCCAGCCAGCCGGCTCGCCTACCCCGCCCCTAGCGATGACGTATCAATGGCGCCGGGCGCCTGCTAAGCATGTCATCCACCAGCATGCCGCTCAGCGGGGCGGAAATGCGGGAGCCCCCTCCGACAGACCAACTCAATCGAGCGCTACAGCGTCGACACGTCCGTTCCTGTCATGTGTTCTGTCCGGCTGGACCCGCCGACCCGGAGAAAAACGATCCGGTCTAGGCCTGGCGGGGGTCCGTACTCCTGTAGAGTTTCCTGTCTAAACTGGGGGATTACCCACCACTGGCTTGCTCAGATCCTCCACGGGGTCACTTGGTTGCCTGCTACCCTAACAAACCCTGTTGTACAGAGCTCTTGGCACAGACACTCCTCCCTAGAGGCAGTCACACTTTCTAGCTAGCTGTGGGGGTCCTATACACGCAGTCTGTGAGATGCCTCTGGACCCTGCAGGATGTCAGGCCTGTGAGAGGCGATTACTGTTAGTAGGGTGACCAGATGTCCAGATTTTATAGGGACAGTCCTGATTTTTGGGTCTTTTTCTTATATAAGCTCCTATTACCCCCCACCCCCGTCCCGATTTTTCGCATATTCTGTCTGGTCACCCTGACTGTTAGTTGGTCATAGCTTATAGCCAGTGTGACAGGTGGCTCAGGAGGAGGAGTCAGAAACACCTGAGTACTGGGACATTGACTCACCCTGGGACCATGGCCAAGTCCTCTGACTACCCCGTGCCTCAGTTTCCCAGTCTTTAACATGGAGGTGATAAGCCCAGTTTCCCCATTTGCTGCTCACAGGGACTCCAAGAGGGGGAAAGAGGAGAAACACCTGGGCAACGGGGCTTGGTGAGATCAGAGAAAAAGAAGAGCCAGGATTGTGCAGGGGGCAAATGAGGGGAGCAGGACAAAACAATCCCAAGAGTGAGGGCAGGGAGAGAAGCCAGGTGTTTTACTACAGAGTGGGGGGAGATCAGTGTCTCTTGGGGCTGTGTCCAATTTACTGATGCTGTTAATTACAAAGAGACCCAGAACTAAAACCTCTCCCAGAGAAATTACCGACCCCCTGAAACACAGGTGGTGGGGGAGGAAACAGGAGTGTATCCCAGCCACAGACAGAAATGAAACTGGAGCCACAAGGTCAGTGCCAGCTCTGGGGCAGTGAGGGGACAGAGAGCTTGTCTCCCTTGGGTTGGGAGGGTACTGTGGACAAAGTGAGGAACGGGAGACTCCCCACTCACAATGGATGTGTTCACTCCTATTTCCTGGCAGGTGGCTGAGCTGCCCAGGCCTGGCCTAGCCCCAGTGCTCAGCCCAGAGCCAGGTAGATCTCTGGGCTTGGAGCAGGGAGCTGGGCAGTGGGGTTTGCCAGCCGGCTAGTAGCTGCTGAGTGCAAGGACTGGGGTCCTATGGGGTGTAAGGATCCCCTGAGGCAGTGGTGCTGGGTTAATCTTGGCCAACAGGGCCCGGGATGCATCAATTTGAATTTAATTGTGTGGGTGGATGTGGACATGTGGGCCGCGCCTCTGCGGGGGACCAGGGTCAAGGCACTGGGGCTTCTCCCACCCCGCCCAGCGCTTCTTCTGGAGACCAGGGTTGGGGGGGGGGCTTCCCCTGCTGCCCCCAGCTTCTGCCAAGGCCAGGGGGTGCTGGGGCTTCTACCGCTGCGCCCGCCCTGCCCACTAGGCGCTGCTGCCTGGGAGCGGGGTTGAGGTGCTGGAACTTTCCCTGCCCCGCCCACCCAGTGGCTGGGGCTCCTGGGCCCCTCAGTTGACCGAGGCCCCGGGGCACAGGCCCCATAGGGCCTGTGGCTAATCTGCCACTGCCTGGGGGTGGGGGAGGGAGTGTTGGAGCAGGGCAGACATTGATGCAGCTTATGGCTATTTTGATCTGAGACTTGATACCGGTGAATAAATAGGATTTGCCATTTAGCAGATGAGGGATTAAGGCACCTTCTGGCGAGTCAATAGACTCAGGCGGGATCACTGAGCAGCCGGCGCTGACCGAGAATGTGCTGGCATAGCTCTCTCCAGGGACATGCGCTAGCCTTAGAGCAGGTGCCCTACTCACACTGTCTCCCTCCTCCAGGCAGGACAGGCACCACCTGTGCACACTTGGAGGCGTCTCCTGAAATAACCAGGGGGTGAGTCCAATCAGGTGCCAGACAGGCTGGAGGAGATTCTTCCAGCCCATGCTAGCCAGACCACCAGGCTGCCCTGAGCTCAGCCCAGCTCTCAAAGCAAGTCACCCCTGGGCATGGCCTGAGAAGGGGCCCTGAGGTTCCCAAAGTGAATCCCACACTGTGCTTGATAAAACATCCAGTGAGGAATCAGCTTCCCGCTTGCTCAGCTCAGCAGTCTTGGGGCATCTCACCCAGGGAGCATCTCATACCCGTGTTGCTGGCTGTCTGGAACCTTTCAGGCCCATCATAATGTGTCCTGGCAACCTCCTCTTTGCCGGTATTCTGCCCTGGGCTGCTGAGATCCCCCGGAATTCACATGCGGATTCACCGCTGGAGGCAGGGCGTTCTCAGTGGAGTTCTTATGTAACCCGCAGAGCAGTATATATGATGGGTCCCCCTTTATGCTTGGTCCAAGGAGGATGTGACGCTGATACAGCACCAGCTAGGGATCTGTAACAGCTCATGCTCTTTACTTTGGAGGTCCCTGCTTCAATTCCTGGTGCCTTCCCATTCCCGTGGGCCTGAGGGTTTCTTCATCCTTGGCACGAACTGAAGACCTGTCTATTCAGCTGAGTTTTTCCTGGGGATGAGGTTTGAAGGGGAAGGGTTTCCATCGTTTGTGGTGGATCTAATCTCTATCTAATCTGGCATCTAAAGAGCACCTCTTTGCCATGGGGTCTGAGGCTGCTGAGAAGGTGATCAGGAACAGTCAACATGGATTCACCAAGGGCAAGTCATGCCTGACCAACCTGATTGCCTTCTATGATAAGATAGTTTCTTGGTTTCTTTGCAGCCATTCTGAAGGAAAAATGGGCCCTTTTCCAAAGGAATGTCTGTAAATAGTCCAGGCAAAGAGACAATCTGATTGAAATCATTTGACTATGGACAATTTAGTCAAATTTGCTAAAAGAACATAAGGGGGTTCTATTGGAACTTAACTGCCCCAAATGTATAAAGGGAATGTAATCCATGTACAGCTATGTAAAAACAGAGCAGTGTAAAATGAATGATAAGATAGCTGGCTCTTTGGATATGGGGAAAGCAGTGGACGTGATATACCTTGACTTTAGCAAAGCTTTTGATACAGTCTCCCACCATATTCTTGCTAGCAAGTAAAAAAAGTATGGATTGGATGAATGGACTATAAGGTGGATAGAAAGCTGGCTAGATCGTAGGGCTCAATGGGTAGTGATCAATGGCTCAATGTCTAGTTGGCAGCTGGTATCAAGCAGAGTGCCCCAAGGGTCGGTCCTGGGGACGGTTTTGTTCAACATCTTCATTGATGATGGGATAGATTGCACGCTCAGCAAGTTCGTGGGTGACACTAAGCTGGGAGGAGAGGTAGATATGCTGGAGGGTAGGGATAGGGTCCAGAGTGACCTAGACAAATTGGAGGATTGAGCCAAAAGAAATCTGATGAGGTTCAACAAGGACAAGTGCAGAGTCCTGCACTTAGGACGGAAGAATCCCATGCACTGCTAGAGACTAGGGACCGAGTGGCTAGGCAGCGGTTCTGCAGAAAAGGACCTGGGGATTACAGTGGACAAGAAGCTGGATATGAGTCAACAATGTGCCCTTGTTGCCAAGAAGGCTAGCGGCATATTGGGCTGCATTAGTAGGAGCATTGCCAGCAGATCGAGGGAAGTGATTATTCCCCTCTATTCGGCACTGGTGAGGCCACATCTGGAGTATTGCATCCAGTTTTGCCCCCACCACCACCACTACAGAAAAGATGTGGACAAATTGGAGCGAGTCCAGTGGAGGGCAACAAAAATGATTAGGGGACTGGGACACATGATTTACGAGGAGAGGCTGAGAGAACTGGGCTTATTTAGTCTGCAGAAGAGAAGAGTGAGGGGGGATTTGATAGCAGCCTTCAACTACCTGAAGGGGGTTCCAAAGAGGATGGAGCTCGGCTGATGGCAGATGACAGAACAAGGAGCAATGGTCTCAAGTTGCAGTGGGGGAGGTCTAGATTGGATATTAGGAAACACTATTTCACTAGGAGGGTGGTGAAGCACTGGAATGGGTTACCTAGGGAGGTGGTGGAATCTCCATCCTTAGAGGTTTTTAAGGCCCAGCTTGACAAAGCCCTGGCTGGGATGATTTAGTTGGGGTTGGTCCTGCTTTGAGCAGGGGGTTGGACTGGATGACCTCCTGAGGTCTCTTCCAACCCTAATATTCTATGATTCTACGATCTGGTGGCAGTATGGATTTTAACAGTCATCTGTCTGAGGCCTTGCGTTGTTCATGCCGCTAGAAAGGTCGGGGCCTAGATGAGCTGATGTTTGGGGGTGCTGAGCACCTTCCCCTCCCAGAGAAGTCAGTGGCAGCTAGAGAGGCTGAGCACCGTTTATTAAGTCAGGCCAAGAAACAATCCTGATATGCACTAAGGGTCTGATTTCCCACAGAGCTCAGCCTCCAACAGCTCCAGTTAGGCACCTAAATCATGTGACCAGATTCCCAAAGACCTTGACTCCCAGCAGCCTCCGTTGTTCTCAACGGGTGCTGCTGGGCACAGAGCACCTGAAATCTGGGCCCTGCATCCAGGTGCCTAAATGGAAGCTGAGCTATTTGGAAAACCGGGTGCTAACATGTCACAGGGTGAGAGAAGCACCTGCTCTAGGAGTGAAATGGGGAATGGCTGCTGCCTCATGCAAAGCCGATATATGCCCAGAACACTTCACTGTGAAGTATTAACCCTTCAGATAATTTCTCTAGGCTGTTAAACAGGCACTGTCAGTATCAAACTCTGCCTGAACATATGTCACTGACTGTAGAGCCAGATAACCCCAGAGATACCTATGACTGGAAGGTTGTTCTGTTGTACCCATTGCACCTTTGCTACTCTCTGGGTATAGCCAGTTTCACCCTGGCTGCATTCTGGGTAGAGTCAGTTTCACCCTGGCTGCCCCCTGGGTA